AGAGAGATATGGATAGCTATGAAATCGTTGGTACCGTAATATTTAAAATTTAATACCACTACCGTGGTAAATGTCCAAATTTACAGAATTGGTACAGTACGTAGTACCAAACATATTGGTTATCAAATATATTCGCAACCAACTTTTTAGGTTTGGTTAGTAGCATATTGGTTGGTTTCAATGGTATGTATTTGACAACCGTAATAATAATTTTTTTATTTTTTATTTTTAATAATTTGCAAGCTTCTTGATAAACTAGTATTGCCGATGCTTTTAACATGATTGGAGTCCATATGGATGCACACGAATGAAGATCAGCCAGTGATATGCGATAAATTCATGATAATATTAGGAATATAATATGAATGCAAGAAATTTCACTTAAACATAAATAATTAGAGACTACTCCATTATTTAGTAATTAATTTATTTAATGTAATGTATTACATACTAGTTTTATAATATGAAATCATTTTCTACGTTCCTTTTTGTGTAGATTTATTTCTCGGCTAGTTATCGGATAATTTTTTAATAAATATGATTTTTTATCATCTAACAACTAGTTTTTTAGTTAGCACTTTTCCAAAGCTAGTCTCCCAAACATATTCTTAAGCTCAAATAGACTTGGTTAACTAGTTAAGACATTGTCAAGATAGTTTATAAGATGACTGTGGTTGAATCTTCTATCTGTGTAATCCTCAAGGGTGTGACAATGGGTGGACGATAAAAATGATAAATATCCTATAGATTGTTTGATATTTTGGGCAGGGTATGTACTGCATTAAAGGAATTTTATTCTCGTATGACGACTTTACAGTCACATGCACAATAAACAAAAAAATTGTGGCTTTTCTTTCTTAATTGTTGGTACCCCATATATTCACGTGAGGTCCTTGCATGCATGGCCATACCCGAATTGCCCATTATCCTATCTCCTTCTATATAACTCTCATCTTCTACCTCAATTACAAACACCCACAAAAACATACTCCAAAATCCAAATCAAACATTCTATCAAAATGTTGATCCCTAGTCTTGTTGTGTTTTCTCTTCTCTTTGTGTCATCGTTTGCATCAGTTCAGGACTTCTGTGTAGCCGATTTGAAACAATCCGATACCCCTTCCGGCTTCCCATGCAAAGACCCCAAGAAAGTAACAGAAGCTGATTTTGTTTACTCCGGGATTGGTAAAGCCGGAAACACCACCAACCTCATCAAAGCTGCTGTCACTCCGGCATTCACTGCTCAGTTTCCGGGTGTCAATGGGCTCGGAATATCCATTGCCAGGCTGGACCTAGCCGTGGGTGGGGTTATCCCGATGCACACTCACCCTGGAGCCTCGGAGCTTTTGGTTGTCATCGAAGGGACCATTTGTGCTGGGTTTATTTCTTCTGCTAATACTGTTTACTTTAAGACGTTGAACAAAGGAGATATTATGGTGTTCCCACAAGGTCTGCTTCACTTTCAGCTAAATTCCGGTAAGAGTAGCGCTCAGGCGTTTGTTAGCTTCGGTAGTGCGGTGCCTGGACTTCAGATTACTGATTTTGCTCTGTTTGCTAATGAATTGCCAACCGAGTTGGTGGCGGCGACTACTTTCCTTGATGTAGCACAGATTAAGAAACTCAAGGGTGTTCTTGGTGGGTCTAATTAAGGTTGTATTCGGGTTTCTAGTTGTTGATTTATCTTCATCTTGGTGGTGTTGTCATTGTTGCTTGTTTATTGTGGTACCAAGCATCTTGATGTTTGGCTGCGTCAATTTTAAGGTTTTCTTTTTCTTTGTAAGCTTAGGACTTTTTTAATTGTAATGCTGTAAGCTCAAATGAGTGTGATATAATTGGTCATAAGCTTTGAAATAAGCAGCATTTTTGCTGATGTCCACATATCTCTATGCTTTCTAGGAACTTTGAGTTCAGTTTGACAAAAATATTATTGTTTATCTTTTGCATATTTCTTGTTTATTAGCTAGAAGTTTGCAATTTTTTTTATCCTTTTTGTAGGTTTACACAGTACAATCAAATATTTTTATCAAACATAAAGACTTTAATTAGCCTGAAAAAGGTAAAAGGCAAACATTTTTACCTAACTTAAGGGTTTTTATATTATTAGGCCTTTTAAAAAAAGGTTAATGTTAATTGAAACCCAACAACCTTTTGACTTTTCTTATTAGATAATATTATATATATATATTATATAATATATATATATATATATATATATATATATATCTATAGAGGGGTGAGATCGTTTGAGAACTCATAGTTTCCCGAGAACCCGATAACTAAAAGTGGATCGTTGGATCAAAATTAATTCATTAAGGACATGATCGTCATCTTACCAATCTCATTTAATGTTTAATTTTTTGAGTTATTGATCATATTAATATAAATGTTTAAAAAGTTACATAATAAATAAAATTTTCGGATTTTTTTAGAAATTGAATTTTTCGATTTTTTTAAAAAAAAGTGCAGATTTTTAATTTTTTATAGAAAACATGAAATTATGAAAAAAAAATTGAAAAAAATATTTTTTTCAAAAAAATGCAATTTTTTAAAAAAAAACCGTATTTTTATTCAAAAAAAATACAATTTTTTCAAAAAAACTGCATATGTTTTTTAAGAAAACTGCATTTTTTTCAAAAAAAAAAACTGCAATTTTTTTAAAAATACTGCATTTTTAAATAAAAAAATTGTAATTTTTTTCCAAAAAAACTACAAGTTTTTTAAAGAAAGCTGCATTTTTTTCAAAAAAAACACTGTATTTAAAAAAACTACAATTTTTTCAAAAAAATTTGTATTTTTTTTTTAAAATTAAACTTTTAAAAATCAATAAATTAAAAAAAGAACTAGAATATTTAAAAAAAAATACTCTTGTTTTTTTAACAATAAAAATCAAAGTTTTAGGTGCATATATGCATATTTTTTGAAATGCATATATGCATATTTCTGATATTATAATATTCATAAGTAAATCATAAAAAAATCTCATTTTTATTAATTATCTATAAACTAATAGCACAAGTATTTTTATTCGATACAAAATAAAATATAAAAAATTAAAAATGCTACAAATTTCAAAGTGTTTTCATGTCTTTGTGTTAATATTTCCTTATTTTCTTCAATTTATCATTTTTTCACATTTTCAATATTCGCCAAAATTTCTTCCAAATCTACAAGAAAATTAAAAAAAAATGATTGATGAAAAAACACTCACAAAAATACATATGTGGTTTTCATGTGATTAACATATGAATCACATGCGATTCACATATGAATCACATTTACATATGACATCATATATAAATCACATGTAAATCACATGTGAATCACATGTAATTCATATGTGAATCACTTGTGATTTACTTGTGAATTACATGTGATTCATATGTAAATTACATATGAGTCACATGTGACTCATATGTAAATTACATATGAATCACATGTAACTCATATGTGATTCACTTGTGATTTACATATGAATTACATGTAATTTACATGTGAATCACATGTAATTTATATGTGAATCACTTGTGAATTAAATGTGATTAATATGTAAATTACATATGAATCACATGTAACTCATATGTAATTCACTTGTGATTTACATGTAAATCACATGTAATTCATAAGTGATTCACTTGTGAGTTACATGTGAATCATATGTGAATTACATGTGAATCATATGTGAATTACATGTGAATCATATGTGAATTACTTGTAATTCATATGTGATTCACTTGTGATTTACATGTGAATCACATGTAATTTATATGTGAATCACATGTAATTCATGTGTTTCATTTGTGATTTACATGTGAATCACGTGTAATTTATATGTGAATCACATGTAATTCACTTGTAATTCATATGTGATTCACTTGTGATTTACATGTGAATCACATGTAAGTCATATGTGATTTACATGTAATTCATATGTGATGTACATGTGAATTACATGTGAATCACATGTAATTCATATGTTATTCACATGTGATTGTTTTTTATACCATTTGCATCACAAAAATATTTACCACATAAAACTAAAGATGAAATGTTAGGATCAGCAGCAATAAGTCCATCTTCTACTTCATTTCCAAGACTAATGGCATCCAGACCACTCAACCTGAAAAAGGTTAAAACATTATCTAACAAGAGTTAGTACTTAACAGATCTAAGTTCTTCACAATATCACACAGAATTCAGAACCAGATTAGCCAATCATAACAACTAATTAACTAGATCATACCAATAAAAACATATATATGTCCACTATGAGAACCAGATTAACCATTGCACTATACTTTTATATGAATCAAATATGCATTAGTATATTTATGATTCACATTAAGTTCATCACTGCCAACACATAAATAATAGAGATTCATTTAGAAAAATAGGACCTATTATTTTTCAAACTCAAAAATAAAGCACCAATAACATATGTTGAATTTGTTGAAAACTTGCATTCTTCCAGAGAACGGAGTAGCAATTGATGGTTTGAAACTGTTGTTCCATAAAAGCAGAGTTGATTTAATATACATAAGAGTTTCCATGTGAAAGATTCATAACAGAAGTTCTTTGAAGTGTAACCTATTCTTTTTCAAACTCAAAAATAAAGCACCAATATTTTCTAGCATTAATATATTTGTTTAGAAATCGCATTATATTGTTCTACACAAAGTTCCAAATATATCGATTACTTTTGGTATTTTCAAACTGAATTTTTTTTAAAGTACAACGCATCAATAGAAAAAAAAATGGCCCTCTCAAAAATATATCCCTATCTTTTGCATTTGTGCCGAAAATCCCCCTGTGAAATCCTTACTTCAACTAAAACGAGGGATATGGACCTTGAATGGGAAAGGTTGAGGGGTATTTAGGTTTGTAGTTGCATTTTCTCAAATATCCCTTCTAAGGTCTTTTAACTCAAAAATGGATGTAATGTACACAGATCAAACAAGTTAAAGGAACTTAGAGTGCAAAAAAAAACGTACCTCCTGAAACATTTCCTTTCCCTTGTCTTTTATAAAAATCTGAAACTCCTTCACCTGATGGATTTGGCAATAGAGGTGGATGCATAGCATAGAAGTTTCCAAGAGCAGCAACAATTGTTTGAAAGCAAACCTCATCATTCCAAGTCACCTAAACAAGATATAATTATGTATTTATCTTTGTGCATAATTGTATTATATACATTTTGGTGTGTAGCTTACATCATTTCCCAGACAAAGAAGAAATTTTGGAGCACGGTCCATGTCAGGTGTGTACTGGTCAAGTATGACAGGAAGCCTTGACAAATTGGCTTGTGGATCCACATGAATGCCAAAATATTCATCCAGCAATTCATATTTCTTGCTTAGTAGCTTAGCATTCATCTGTATACATATGTAATTAAATGATGATAGTAATGCTAAAACCAGAGACTCAACATTAGTAGCTTAGCATTCATCTGTATACAGGTAATCATGATCCACTGAAAGACTTACTTGAGCAATCTTTCCTTTTAAGTCATCATTCTCAACGCCTTGTGAATCTGGATCTTCTTCAGTTAGTGCCATCATGATTAGTTCTTGCAATGGAGCAGGCTCACTTAACTGTATTGCATTGAAGTAACCAAATCCTTGCAGAACCAGTTGATACATGAGCTCTTTGCTACAAAAAGAAAAAAAAAGGAATTTAGTGCCCAACCTATAGGAACTATACAAAGCTAACTATATATATATATATATATATATATATATATATATATATATATCAAATACTTAGTTGGAACAGATCAAAAAGGAGAGGTAGTATGTAGTATATTACCTCAAATTTACAACATTGGCAAGATATAGATGAGTATTATGCTGAAGGAGAGCAAAATCATCATCAACCATACCAACATATTTGCAGTTCCTTACAGTTTCCAAAAGACCTAACAGAAAGAACCACATCAGTGATCAGACATCAACAACACAAGAAGATTATGCATATATTGTTCATAATGAATGTGGTGATGAAGGGTACCAGAGTGACAACCACGTTCAAATTCATCAATAAGTTCCTGAACACTTGTAAGATCAGTAGTTTCCTTAGGATTCCTTCTCTGTCTGATGGAAGACATGCATTGCAGGCACCTTTGATTGTAACAAGTAGTAGGGCATGAATACTATGGTCCAACTTCATGAGGAGTGTTATCGATTGTTTATATGGAAAGATAGAGAGAGATCCTATTCCTACCTCAAAGAATTCAAACCAGAATTGCTTTCATAGTGTCTAGAAGGCTTAGCTTGAAAATAAGCATGCATCCTCCCAGAAGGATCCTGTGAATCTGTCCGCACCATCTTATTTACAGGTATTTTTTGCGACCCTTGAGAATATAAGAAAACAAGTTAGAACATGAAGAGATATTTCAAGTGAAAGAAAAAGAAAGAGCATCACTTCACTTGCAAAGTTGCATACCAGAAGTTGATGCATTTACAAAAGAAGCTTTGTTTGCAACTACTGAACTCACAGGAGAGCAATCCACTGCCTGTTAAAATTCGGTACATTAACACAGGAACATTATTTTCGGGCTAATTCATGTCAATTAAATCAGATTATAATGAAACCCAAAACTAGAAACAAATCTGTACATAACAGGTGAGATTATAGTGTTCTATGGAAATAAATTAGATAAGTAATGGCAAAACCTTAGATGGAGCTGGAAATAAATGAGGTTAGATGAGAAGTGGGCATCCCATGGCCGTACAATTGCAGGTTTAGGGCAATAAATCAGATTACCGACTTCCTTTAAATCTAGCGATTAGGTTTTCAGATTGTTAATGTGCGGAGGGAGGCGAGCATAGAGGAGATAATCGATGAAGAACATGAGAGCGAGAGAGATCCTTGACTGATAATTTAGTTTTTATCATATCAAAAACCGATGCCATGGCTTAATGGAAAACAAATGGCGTAGCCATGACCAATAAGGACGATCTTATAGTTCTAATTAGATGAGATCAACGAACCATAACATCAAACGATAATGAAAAAGTCAACCTCCCAACATAATTGGGAACTAGATTATACTTCTGAACACCATTTGGTGATAGAATCAATATCAGAAGTAGTCAATTTTACCACATAAGTCAAAATTAGATCCATATCAGATGCATAAACACTTTGAAGAATTAGACATTTCTGTGTAGATGATGCAAAAAAAAAATATTGCAAACAATCGATCGATTAGTGGAGATCTAGTAGAGAATAGAGACGACTTACTTTGGTATCGAGCATAACTGCACAGAGAATACCGGTGTTATCCATGGCAGTTTGGAGATTATCAAGTGTTTCCTGATGATACTCATAAGATCCATGCGAGAAATGGATTCCAATTGCTAGATCAACGGCGACCAAAGATAACGACGATGAGGAAGAACATGAGCGAAGGGTCGTCTTTGGAGGCGATGTGACGGTAGGACGTGGGATGAGAGAGAGAGATGGATAGGGTTTACCTGATTCAGGGTAATTCATCACTAAAATTCCCCTGAATCATTTAATTATCATGCGCCCGTGTTGTTTTTTTCCCAAGTATTTACAAAAATGCCACAAATGATCCTAGCCTATTATTATTTTGATCTAACGGCCCTGGTTTGGTTTTCGGGTTCTCGGGAAACTTTGAGTTCTCAAATGATCCTTGTTATATATATATATATATATAATATATAATATATATATATATATATATATATATATATATATATATATATATATATAACGCCCGCAAATCCGGGCTAGTCAATTTAGAGACGATAAGCATCAAAAATAGTTTTTGATGGAAGATTATTTAGAAGTATTAATCTTAACCAAGTTGTAGTATATATTACAAGGGTTCCGTACATATAAAGAACGCCGAAATCCGAGTTATAACGAAGAAGTTATGGCCCGTCGAAGTTTTACGACAAAACCGGCACGGCACCGGGAGACGTAAATAGTGAATTTACGGTAGAAGACTTTTTAGCCTTAGTTATCTAAACAAAATTTGTAGTATACGTTAAACCGAGAACATACAAAAAAAGAACGCCCAAATCTGACTTCGTATGAGGAAGCTATGAATTTTCTAAGATTTGGCATAGCAGTGCACGGCCCGAAACTCGAATTTTAGTTCGAGTGGTTTTCAGCCTACGCGACCTAAAGGAGAGTTGAAGATCTCATTAATAGGAACTCAACGGTAAAAAGACAGATGAAAACGGAGTCCGTATGTAGAAGTTATGAATTTTACGCGGACATTTAACAGTATAATCTCCTCCTACTGTTAAATTTAAGATCGGTCGAGGATTAGCCGACGGAGTCTAAATGAAAGTTTTAGATCTTTTTTTTACCTACGCATGGATATAAATAATGTCGAGAGTAGAGCTCGTATGTTAATGATATGGACGAAACTTGGTCCCTACTCTTCGAGCGCGATAAATTCGATACAGTTTTGTAAATATGATATAGAATGAGAACTAGCTGACGACGTCTAAATGAAAGTTGTAGTACTCGTAAATACCAATGTGTGGATATAAAGAACGTCAAAAATGGAGTTCGTATGAACGAGTTACAAATTATAATAGCATATTTACGTATTAAAATAAAGTATAAATCATATATACGTACACATATATATACAAATGTATATATCATTAGAAAGGTATCGACGATGCGGTTATTATAAGACTAGTGTTGAGTACTTTCGATATTAGTTTAGTACAAATATCGTTAAATCTATTTAAAATAGTATTATGAAGGGGTGTTTAGTCGTTTATATAACTATAAGGTCATTAAGTAATTATGGAGGGTAGTTTTTGTAAATTCAATTGCTATAAATAAGAGGTTTGGGCGCTCATATTTCTTGCACCATTCTCTTGATTCAAGAGTCTTTCTCTTCTTATCCCCCGAGCATTTCGGTCTCTCGTGATTCGACTTCTCTTTCTATAGTTTTAGTATAGTAAGGTGAGCGCTGAAGCGTTGCACGAATCTTTCTTAGAAAGATTCAGCAACAAAGTTCTGCCCATGCAGAGCCCGACTCCTAGCTAAAACCCCCTTGTAAGTAAGTTATGCTTACCTATTTTAATATAGCTTATATTTAAAATTAGTATTGTTATTATGAACTTATAATAAATATTTGAACTATTATTATGACTTATATAAGTGTCGTTATAATATCTTTTTAACTACTCGCGGTACGGGGAATCTGGTTTAAAGGGCCGCATAGGGTTGTTGGATTTCAGAAGTGCTATATGCCAAAAGGGTCCTGCCCTCCGGTGTTTTATGTCTGGCCCTGTCTGTACATAGTGGTTGGAAAGTATTGTTTAAACGCTTATATAATAATAATAATAATAATAATAATAATAATAATAATAATAATAAATAATAATAAGACTAATAATTAGTCACGGTAAATATTAGACTAAAATTTAGTGGTAATAATACTAGGTTTCGTCGAAGGAAATTATTTTAAAGTAAACGAAACGTTGTCCGAGTACCGACTCACCACCTTATCAAGTGAGTGCATAGTTACTTTCATCTTACACATAGATATGAAGTATTTAATATAAATTACATGCTATGTGTGCATATTGTCTGTATACTTGCCGTCTATGTTGGGTGAAAGATTTTTATACATGTTTTAAAATGATTTAATCTGTATATGTATTTTATATCTAGAAAATGTGTTGGGTAAAATATGGGTAGATGAAATAGTTGCTGTGTGACAAAAAAATAAAATGATGAGAGGTGATATAGACCATGAGATAAGGGTGAGAGGTGAACCATGAGAGAAGCCTTTTACCCAAGTGTTGGCCCCTTCATCTAGCAGAGTATGGATGACAACCACGGACTATTCTAGACAGTCCAGTGGAACACTAGCAAGCTCGCAACCTGTAGGTGTTATTTGAACTGTGTATTCACCAGCTGTACTCTAAAAACCCATTGACATGTATTGCGAGTGGATTCTCGAAAACGATACTGTTAATAAACGAGATAACCCTGGCAGATGCGCCTAAAGGAATCTACCGGCAGAAGCGCCTAATAAAGAACCTCATAACCCCGGCAGATGCGCCTAAAGGATAATACCGGCAAATGCGCCTCATAAGGAATGTCACAATTCTGGCAGTTGCGCCTAAGTGATAATATTAGTAGTTGTGCTTGACAGATGTGTCATTAGCAACGATAGATTTCATGCTTATTCCTTAGGATAATCCTTAGGAATGAATGAACGAGGAATAGCTAATTCTTAGGGTAGATCCTTAAGAGTAAATAAGATAATGGGGATGGGTAATTGGGTTGATTGTTTGATGTTTAAACATAATAATTATATTATTGTGGGTTGAAAACCCTATGTACTCACCAGGTTTCCCAACCTGACCCACTCAAGCTTATTTGTATCACAGGTGTCGATATGAAGTTACATTACACTGAGAGATTAAAGAGATGTAGATCACTAGTGTAAATGAATGTAAGTTCTGTTTATGCTTATGTTTCTGTATTGATGATGACATCCCAAATGTTATAAAATGAACAAAAATACATTTCTTCGGAAATGCTTTGATAACGTATTTATCATGTTTTTCTGGGAACAAATTCCGCAACATTTTTTATTAAAAGAGGTACTCTGATTTTTATAAAGCATAAACAAAATCGATATTTTTTGGCCGTGAAAATGGGGATGTCACAATATATATATATATATATATATATATATATATATATATATATATATATATATATATATATATATATATATATATATATATATATATATATATATCTTTACTATCTTATAAAAGAAATCTCACTATTTCTATAAATAGAATTAATATAATAATAATATTTTTTTAAGACGTTCAAATCATTAAGCTAATGGTACAAGTAGCAATCAATAAAATAATAATATTTTTTAAGTAGTACAAAACATGAATAATAAAATACAATTAACCAATCTTTCAGTTCTTATCGTAGCAGGTTTGACCAAGTTCGTTAGTATGAGTTGTGAAGAAGGCTAAAATCCCGGCAAAAATCTTTCAGTTTTGGCCCCCCTTCCCCTATATCCGTTTTTCTTCTCCTTCGCAAAAATCATCCTATTTCTCTTTCTACTAAATGAGTTTTCTTCCTCCAGTAAAAAAAACCCTAAGACCACTCAAATCTTCAGCATAATTGATGCCGCCTCCCCCCACCTGCGTCTTCTCCATCAACATCCTCCATGACCCACTCTAGCATTTGTTCCATCGTCTTTATCCCACCTTCGTCTTCGCCATCAACATCGAACTTGCGCCTTCTTTATCGACGCAATGACCTCCACCCTGAGGCTTCCAATGCGAGTAATAGATATTCAAACCCATCACCTGCTATTCCTTCTTGCCGTGTTTCTATTTCTTTTTCTGTTTTAAAATTTGTATGTTTGAAAGATTTATGTTTTTAGGGTTTTGACGAACCACAATGGCTAATAAGATGTTACATTCAGAAATTATGTTTTCAAAGGTAATATTCAGCTTCAACCCTTTTGATTATAATGTTTGTTGTTCTTATTTTGTGCTAAGAAGATCTGTTTCAATAAGGTCTCTGTTTACCTTTCATCATGTGTGGTTTGTGGACTTTTAGGTTGTCGTTGTGGTGACTTTACGTTGGCTGTTATGCTGACTTTCAGGTTATAGAAACAAATATTTGCAATAATTATTTTTTTTTGTATTTTGTTTACATTTCAGTAGATCTAGAAACAAAAATTCATATAAACTAACTATTTTTCATATTTATTTTGTTTCAGCATATCTTGAAACAAAGATCTGTAAAAGGTAGCTTCTTTGTATATTTACTATTTCAACGGATCTAGAAAAAAAAAGATATGTAAAAAACTCACATTTTTTTGCTATCTGTTACATTTCAATAATCTGAAGATGGTGATATGTACCTTCATGATCGTTTGAAGAATATAACAACATTCTTGTGTAATTGTGAAGTGAAATAACATGCATGAATTTATTTGTTTGTGTTTAACAGGTGATGTTACAAATATTTGTGTGTGTTTGTGCTTAACAGAGGATCTTCATCACATGTTGAAAGTTCCTAGGAATTAAGAAATAAAGGCAAGACATGTGATGAGGAGGTTATAGGTAAAGCTCAAGAAGGTGTTGATTGTGCCATTAAAGAGACGCATCCACAAATAAGGGAGGAACCCCCACAAATGGTAATCTACTTTAAACTTATCTACTTAAATGTGTGATGAAGGAGTTTTTATAATGTTTTTTTTATTTTCTTTCTTATTTATGGATTTCCCAATGGTTGTGCCTGGTGTAATAGAATGGAAAAGTTGGTATTCAAAGAGAAAGGCAGGTCTTTTATGCTTAAGGTTGATTTTTTTAAAGTTCTTTATTAATTTCATGTGTGATAATACATGTTTTGGTGTAGGAAGTTGATGCTATGAGAACGAAGTAAGAGGCAAAGTGGATAAGTGATTTTTAGGACCGAAGGAGAAGCTTAATGCATATATTTACATTTTTAACCTTGGCCAAGGCTGCTCCTTTAATGCTTTGATCAAATATAAGTTTTTTTTACTTGGAAGTTCCTTTGGGCAACTTAAAAAAAAAAATATGCTTTTTTAGATAAAAAGGTGTTGGTAGACATTTTAGTACACAAGTAAACTCGTGGAAATTACCAAACTCATTTAAAGTCATGAAATTACCCTTAAAATCCATATGCAAAATCTTTAATCATTTTTAAACATTTCCTTTGTTTTCTTTATTTTCTTGCCTTTTATGGGAAGTGATATTTCCACTTAAGAAATTACATTTTATGTGGATCAATAAATTCCTTAAGTGGAAATATCAGTTCCCTTCTACATAATATTTTCCAAACAATTCCTCTATTTTCTTGGCTTTTTACTGTCCTAATACCTGGACTGCTAATACTTATTTTAGCATGGGGCCATATTGACTGAGCATGTATGTTTTGTATACCGGTTATCTTCCTTTTCATCATTTGAATTTTATGGAAATGTACACAAGATAAGGAAGGCAGATTTCAAATGTCTAAATTGGAGGTAAATCGGTTACTCATAAGAATGTTGGAACTAAATCCCACCTATCGAGGAGTTCAGCACGTGAGATTGATGTTGGTTGGAAGAGATTTAACACGAAGGTTGATCTTCTATTTGAATTAGTAAATTTGACTTCATTTGCTTAACAATATACAAATAATTGTTGTTTTGAACATACATACAAACAAGATTCATAGGCAGAAAGCAGATATAAGACATTAGTGCTAAATAAGTGCTCAACATGGGCCACATTTTAGTCTTATTATCATTACATGATTCAAAATTATAAGCACCTTAAAAGTTATAACATTAGAATTATGCATTCACTCTGCTTTAATGTCCATATTTTAGTCTTATTTATATCTTTACATGATGTGAATCTACTTTTCTAATTTGAGTTCTTGCATATGAGATGTCACACAATCAGATTAATTTCCTTTATACCGTATCATGGGCAAATTTGAAAGGATTGTTAGAACAGAGAATGAATAATTTTTTGTCGGTAGTATATATATTTTTCATCATACTGTAAGGAAAATGGAAAGACCTGTGTATCTTAAACACATAAAAGCTCCAGTTCAAGAGGTTGTCTTTGTCCTTGATAACCAAAACTCCAGTTCAAGAGGTTGTCTTTGTCCTTGATAACCAAGTCACCTCTCTCTATTATAATGCTAATTAACTTGAAGAAATATTATTTGAACTTAATTCTCATTTGTAAAACTATATTTGATGAAGTGTATTGTTCGTAAATTGGCTGGCTCTTTGAATTTCCTACTAGATACCTTGTGTACATAGTTTTTATTTTTCGTTCATAAATTGACTAGATTAAATAAATGAAAATTTTATAGTTTTACCAAATTGACAAAAATGAGGATTAAAAAATCGAAAAACACAACTTAAAAAGACTAATCATTCACTTGATTGGATGTATGTATGAGTGTTCAAAAATAGAATCTGAAAATTTGATTCCAAATTATTCGATTTTCTGGATTCAGATTTGGATAGTGATTTTCTGATATTTCATATATCCAAAAATCTGAAAATTATAATTACGTCTTATATTTTATTTGTTATTTTACCCCAAATATCTTATAATATCAATATTAAAACCTAAAACATATTCATAATACATTTATTACTATATTGCCTTTCAACGCAGAAGTATTCACATACGCTATTGTCTTTAACTTGGAGTACAACTAAAAAAATTATATTACCAAATGATATAAAGATAATATAAATGATGAAGCACCATATATTTTACACATAAATAAGAAACTAATTTATGTTCAACTCTTATCTCATATCATATCATAAAAAATAAATAGTTTTAGTTAACGCAAAATATATTATTTAGAACATTGCATTAACATTGGTATATATGTATACATAATAGCTAACATTGACTTCTATAATTGAATTGACATTTAATTTTGACCAAAATCTAAAGATTTTGGATATCCGATTCGGTACCCGAATCCGAAAATTAAGATATCCAAATTTTGGATATGGAACTAGATACCAAGAATCAGCTATCCGAAATTCAGATGCCTAAATTTTTGGATATCTGGTTTTAAGCACTCTTATGTCATGCCAAGTTAGATGAAGTATAAAGTTAAATATTTCATCGAGTGGATTTAAGTCATAGCGTTAGATCGTATTAGTGTCAACGTATTTTTATTGATTTGTTATTGTATTACTTTACTTTTTTTTAGTTCGTATTATGATACTTTAATCTTAAAAATCTATTCATTCTAATTAATATAAATTGATATTAAACAAAAAATCATTCAAAATTAATTGCATTTTAGACATTTATGGAATCCAATTTGCTAAAAATAATATTATTATATAAATATGGTACATATTACCATAGTCTCCTAACAAAACTAGAGTCTAAAGAGTTTAAAATTTAAACACACTTATCTAAATTGTGTGCCGACTAGAAAAACAACTCAACATACATCGGGAAAAAAATCGGGTTGAATATTACAAACCCACAACCCATCAAATCGGTCAAAGTTTCAAAACAAGTTTAGATGTTATGGTAATTTGCACTTAATGTTCTGAATGATTAATTTCAATTTGCAAGAAAGTAACACATAACCGAATTTATCAGTGTTCAATAATTGTAAGAACTAAAGAATTATCAATATTATGTAATTTGGTTAACAGTTAATGGTTTTTATGGTTTGATCTTATAGCCACAAGGAAACTATTTACCGAAATGAATTAATCGCCGTCTGCAAACTATTCGTCGCCGCCGCTTTGCGCGGGTAAACGACTAGTGTATATATATATATATATATATATATATATATATATATATATATACACACACACACACACACACAAAAAAAGTTTTTTTGAGAATCTGAGGGTTTTTTGAGAAAAAGAAACAAACTTTAGACCGGAGAGTGTGGGTAGGAAAATCCCCTCACTTTTTGTGGGTCACAATACCCTTTCCCTCACTTTCCTTTCCCTCACCAAAAGCCAAGGAGTGTGCGGGAAACTCCCCTCACTTTCTTTTGATTTTTTTTAAATAAAATTAATTGATTTTAATGATAATTGGAATATAAAAGTATAGTGTCTATTTTATAATTTTCGAAAATTATTTTTGTGAAGAGAATTCAGAGTTGGGGTGTATTCTGTCATAAGACCAAAACATAGCGGCCAAATATGACATTTCTAGAAACTTCTCATCCGTCTTCCTTCTTCCTCAATTAGAACCTGCAAACTCAAAAATAAATAAATAAATTCCAGCCAATCACAAGAAGAGAGAGAATGCGGCAACCCCTCCCCCCACCTCCTCCCCGCGCCTCCTATCCCGCACTGCCGGTGAGGTGTTCCTCCGAGCGGGAATGGCTCCTGCACACCCTTCCCGCTTCACTCCGTCCAACCTTATAGAGAAGTCAGAAAACGTTTTGTATTTGGCAATACCTTCCTACATATACAAGATTACGTGTATCTACATAACACATTTTTCTACATGGGACAAAACTAGGATGTATATTACGTGAGACTACTTGAAATTTTCATGATCCACAAGACCAAAATTTTCTACATGTGACAAATCTATGATGGATAACCTTTTAAGAGCTATTTTTGCTGGTAAATCAGAAAGCACATTCATATGATTTGCACATGTCTCTTTTCCAAACAAAAGAATGTAATTATTGTCCTATCGACATCTATATCAATACATATCAAACACTAATCCATGTTATGTGATGTCATATCCTACGCTAATTAATAGATTGAACTTAAACCTTAGCTATTCATAGAAGAAACATGAATGTTGTATGATATAATTATAATAAATTTAGGAACAAGTATTACATTTCTTCTATTCATGTATTATCCTATATATATAATATATAATAATAAAATAAACCAAAACTTAACCTTACAGCCTACGCCAATTCTAAAATTTCGACCTCAGCTGCTCCTCAAATTACTTCCACAAGCTTCTCAAGTCGATCAGATTGACCTCAATATCCTCTTGTATAAATATTTTTCAATATTTTCATCCATCAATCACCAACTTCTTCTTAATATATTACTCAATTTAGAAACAATATCAACCTTACTTTTCATGTGTTCTATCACATATACATCCAGGAAGTGGATTTGCATAAAAACTCTCTTCTAATTTTGGAAATTCCCCTTGTTCCCTCATATATGGACCTCCATCTCCCTTCTCATGAAGCTTCTTCACTTCCAAACTAAACTCCTCCCAAGATTTCTTCCCTTCATCCAATTCATCTACAAGCTTAACAAAATTCATCCTGCATCAACCAAAAAAAATGAATTATTTTTTTTTTTTACACAAAAACAGCAACATAGAGTATAGAAAGTAAAGTAAAATTAAATTACCTATCAGGATTGATAGTTTTCTTGAAATCCTCAAATCTCCTATGCCCTTGAACAGCCTTTGCCATATTCCCATCATAAGTGTAAACAAAAACATCGCTCTGAAGGGCAATTACGTAATCTAAACCAGCCAACATGTTTTGGTGATTCTTGAAAGGTTTCAATTCTCTTTCAGTTGAAAGAGTGAAATGTGAGAAAATGTTTGGGAAATCTTGATTGAGAGGATCCATTGTGCCTTTTCCATAAGCTTCACCAGCTACTAAATAGATTCTTGTGGTGGAAGGAAACCCTAATCCTTTGAGTAAAAGAGAAGTCTCCCTTGGAGTCAAAGGGCATCCACCAAGTTGTCTTTTTTCTGAAGCATCAATTTCTTTTTCTTTCCAATGACTCACTTCATATCTCATTCTACGAAGCTCATTGTCTTCTTCTGATGTTAAGTTGTGGCTACACCCCTGTAAATGCTAGCATATCCTTCTCATATCTACAAGAAATAAAGATTGTCTTTAAGTCAAAAAAAAAAAGTAAAAGAGGGTGTTTGGACATGGTGATAAATACCTCAAATGCAATGCAAGATAAGGGCTTCCATTTTGTCTCATTCTTGCAACCAAAGTTTTTCCTAATTCCTCAATGGGTGCAGAATACTTCAATGCATTGTAATTGACACGACACCTTAACTTCTGAATGGAATTCGGGATTCCATTGTTGGCGATTCTGGAATCAGTATGTGTGAAATACACAACTTTGTGATGTTTCAGAAGTGGAACAATCTCCATTTTGTAATAACTAACCTGAGACACAAAGAGTAAAAGATGACTTCAAAGAAAACAAAACTTCATAAAAGGAAAAGAAATAGTGGAAGTTAATCAAGTTATTAAGTCAATGGAGGGTCAAACCTTTGACCATGAAATTGGAGTCTTGGCAAATGGTTCAATTCCAGCATAAACAGGTGGCAATTCCTCAACTATGTGTACGTCTTCTTTTAAGGTTTCAATAAAATGTTGCCAATCAAATAGATCTTTGAATCCACTGAAAATATACAATATAAATAATATATAATTTTCAAATTGCTAAATTCAAGAAAAACAAAAATACAAAACCTTTCATCAGCCCAATAGGAAGTGTGATCAAGGGAAGGAAGAACTAATGTAGCCTTCATAATCTTTGCAACAGCAACCATATCACATATCTGAAATACATATATATTATTAGATTAATAGAGAATTTTGAGTACACGTAAGATATAATTTACAAACATTGTATAATTTATTAGTATATAAATGAATCAGACCCCAAATCTCATTTGATTTAAGCCTCCATTTGCATTAATAAGAAGGTAACCATTGGTCTTGTCATCCAATCCTACAAAGACAAGGGAGAAAGTCAACCAATAGACTCAAAGTCAAAATTAAAAGTCAAACTTTATGTGAAACTTACTCTTTTGACTTTTTGGACGATCAATGCATTGACTGTAATTACCACTACTGGGTTTACTCCAGACACCTGTGAACTAAAATCATATGATTTCATAAACAATTTGTTCCCAATTGATATCATAAAATGTTTGAAAAAGTTAAGAATGTGTAGACTTACATCATCTTTATGATACTGATCAGCAACAATACCTGAAGCTACCATTTTTAAAGTTTTGTGCACATCGTTTTCTTCAACTTCAACATGATTTTTATTTTCTTGATATCTATTGTCGTGAGATATATGATCCCTTAAGTTCTTATAAGAGATTGAGGAATCCCAGTAATCCTAATTTGAAACAAATGGAAGAAAATATGAAGTTATATAAGACTTGTAGAAATTTTATCAAAATTGATAACTTATTGACAATGGGTTTGAGCTAAAAGGTTAAAAGTTTATGGATGAAAGTCAAAATTGAAGGCAATTTTCTTATGTTTTCTAGTGGTTATTTAAATAATGGAGAAGGTTTATTGGAAACAAACATCAGTTAAAACAAAAACAGGATAAAAACAAAAGGTAAACACAAATATGCTGTAACACAAACAATGGGATAAAATGACACAGCTTCTATTGACATGCAAACAAATTGTAAAATATGAATATCCAAAGGTGTTGTTTCTGTATAACAATAAGATTAGAATATTCATGTTCAAATAGAATCATAGCAACATAATGGTAAAAGTTCTATAAAAACCAAAAAGTTGTTCAACTACTGCACTTCTAGGTTTTTCTTCTTTTAGTATTAGCTAAAGATCTCACCATATTGTGAGTTAAGTGAAACTAAATTACACCCAAAAAGATATCTAGCTTTGTGCTATGGGTTTAAACTACTGTAGTCAGATTCTCCATTTAATATATTGTTAGGAAGGTTGTTCACTTCACAGGATAAAGACCAAGCAACCGAGCATCTTTGATTATATCATATATAAATGTGATTTTTGAATGTAAGTAATGAAAATTATCAAGAGATGAACCAACCTGATCAAACCCAATTCTTTCGATGGCAGATCCAAACCATCCATTAACAGAAACCTTCAGGATTCCCAAAAACAAACAGAAGCCACAAAACAGGAAGAACATCCAGTGTCCTAGCAGTTTTTTCTTCTCTACTCCGCCTAATCCTAACGCCTCAACAAAATCAACGTTACCGGATCCGCCACTGGAGCCGCTTCTCCTTGTTTGAATCCGTTGTGTCAAACGGGTCTGCTTCTTTTCAGGTACCGAGTCAAACCCTTCAGCGAGTTCAGATCTAGGTGAGTTAAGTGGAACATCAATCTCATGGTGCGTATTATTAGCGTTAGTGATGTTGGTGTTACGTTTGAATGATTGAGCACGGCGAGTCATCGGGCCAGAAAATCTAGGGCTGTTAACTCGATGAGCAAGTCCATCGGCGCCGGCGGTGGTGGAGGTGGAGGCCTGGTAGTGATTATGGTTGTGATTGTTGTTGGCCATGGGTATATGATAGATGATGAGTTGGGAGATTGATGATGTATTTATGAATCAAGGGACCCAAATTGAATAAATGGAAGGTAATTGGTGCAGTTATTCAGTAGTATATTGGTTGATTTGAGGATAGATCGCCATTAATGGAGGAATCCGAGTGAAAAAAGAACCAATTGAGTGTGTATCGTATACAGGCTGTAACATTGATGATGCCATGGTGTGAATATGAGGAATCTGTCATGGACCTTAAATTCTCAAATCGATGGGAAATTATTCCCAGTTACCATTAATAACCAAAACATATTAAAGTAATAACTTGATGTTTATCGATAAAAGAATCAGATTTTTATGAGGCAAAAAGACGGACCATCCATAAAATTCTCAAATGCCGCCAGTGATGACTTTCATTAAAAAGCACAAATAATTTAGAAATACCGATATTTTTCTATCTTAGGGTTAAGGTTATCTAGAGTATTAAAAAGCACAGGTAATTGAAGATTTAGTTCCGATTAAAAATTGGAAATATCCATGTATATTCTTTATTTATCGAAAGTATTAATCCAATATTAAAATTTTGTTTTTGCAATTTTATACCTCAAGTTTTTATTTTTTTTATTTTTCTTTAAATGACCTTTGGATAAAAATTCCAAAAATTGATATTTTTCGGAGAAGATCAATCAAATCTTGTACCCCATACATGAAGCTTATTGAGGGAGGAAACCTAGTAGAATGAAAGAGTGAGATGATAGAAAGGGAAGAAGATAGTATGAAGAAGAATAAGTTTGATCTAATCGAAAAACATATAAGACAACTGTATTTGTATCGAGTCTTCGAAGTTTTTTTCTTTTCGTGTTGACTAAGAAGAATGTTGTTCAAGGGCAATGTAGTATGAGCATCAAATCAAAAGAATGAGTGGTTCTTGTTATAATCGCAATTAAATTATATCCATATTTAAATTTTTTAATTTAGGAAACTTTAAATACTCAATAATCACTTAGAAACATGGGTTTTTTTTCTCATCCCAACACTCATAAATTGCTTTTATATTTTCACAATATTTATCATTCTCGTACGATCGTAACTCCAAATAGTTATGCATATATTATGCATTAGAGTGCAAATATAAAATCAAATAATGGGATATGTTTTAGTGGAATAATTGTAAAAATAACTATATTTTTAAAACTTATTTAATGTTTTGATAATCTATTTGATAAATATCCCGAATGATAAGTTCAACATAATGAATTTCATAATACTAGACAAGTTTCGAATTATCTTTAGTGACAAAAAATTGTTTCGAAATTATAAATTGAAAATTATCCATAAATATCTATATACTATTTATGTAACATCTCAATTTTCAAGTCCAAAAATTTCATTTTTAATTAAGTGACTCATAAAACAGTTTATCAAAAACATTACCAATGTCAAATCAATTTATAAAACTGTAACAACATGTCTCAAAACCATATCACCAATAGTAATAAGAATCAGAGTACAATCCCAAGAAATCTCATAGTGCGGAAATCATGCATGTGGTGTGATGTGCCGCTACCGCGCCAGCTCCTTCCCCTTTGCCGAAGAGGTACCTGAAACAAGACTGAAAACTGTAAGCACGAAGGTTAGTGAGTTCCCCCATCACACCGCATACCAAACAATCACATAGCATACATACTGTCGAGCAATTCTGGGGTGCCCGACCTACCCGGTACGGCCATTCTGGGGTGCCGACCTACCCATGTCAAGCCGTTCTGAGGTGCTGACCAACCCGTGTCAAGCCATTATGGGGTGCTGACCTACCCATGTCAAGCCATTCTGTGGTGCTGACCTACCCATGTCAAAACATTTTGGGGTGCTGACCTACCCTTCGGTCCTAACAACCGAAATACGAGGACTGTTTCACCTCCTACTACTACCACATAATATCATATCACATAAACATATTGTCAGACATATCTGGGGTGCCCAACCTACCCGTCAGTCCTAACAACCGAACTGGGGGACTAATCCCCTCCTACTACCTCTATCACATATGACATATCTTGCTAACACATACTCACATCAGGTAGTAGCAAATCTAGATGAATATCACGAAGACAATCATCTAACAAACAACTCCTACTAGTGGGCCGGCATTGTGGCCGTAGACCCACTTCTACTGGAAGGTAACTCACCTTAATGTCGCGTAGTGTCTGTACTGATCTCGATGTGGAAATCGACTCTCCTCGACTCCTCAATCCCTACACGACAACTCTTACAAGTTATAAACTCATTCTCATACTCGTAACCCTTACAAGGGTCACGCAACCCTAGTCAATGTCAAAGTCATACCCATGGTCCAAGTCAACTTTTGGTCAAAGTCAACATTTAGTTGATTCGACTCGCCGAGTTGGCCCGCCAACTCGCCGAGTCCTCATGACCACACAATGACATAATCTCGTCCTTTACCCGTCGAGTCTAGCAAGAGCTCGACGAGTTCGCCTTCAACAACACATCGGACAATCTTCAACCGACTCGCTGAGTTCGTTCTTGAACTCGCTGAGTTCATCTTCATCCATAAGAAGATGTTCAGTCTATGACTCGCCGAGTTCCTCTTGGACTCGCCGAGTCCGTCTTCATAAGTTGGGAGATTGCCTTGGACTCGCCGAGTCTGTTCATACACTCGTCGAGTCCCATGAGTTCCAGGTCCAAAACAAACCCCTATCAGGCTGAGTGTTCCTTCCACTCAACCAAAACCATTTCCAGGAGACACTTTGGGGGAAAAAGCGTCCCGGCTCGTCAAGTTCGTTCTTGAACTCATCGAGTTCCTCTTTGTCCAAAACTATACAGTCGATTCCAGTGGGACTTAATGCATCCCAATCATAGATCTGACCTCCTAGGGTCTCTTTTATACGTAAAGCTACGAACTTGATGTCCATGCATGGGGTTTTTGGCTCAAAAGGCTATAAAATGGGGTTTATATGATGCATGGGTCTCCCATGGCCATAAAGTTGGCACCTTTATGCCATGGGAACCCTCAATGGTTCCAGATCTAAAAGCACAGCCCACACATACAAGCCAAACTGAACATAGCTTCTCAAAAGCTTAGAAAATGTGGGGAAATAGCCCCAAAACAAGATCTAAGAAATAGATGGTCAAGGTTCAAGCTTTTTACCTTGAATGGACTGAGAATGAAGCAAAACCTTGGGATCTACTAGCTTCCTCTTGATCTCCTAAGCTCTCTTCTTCTCCTTCAACTTCAAACACACGCAAAAAGGCACCAAAAGAGCTCAAATCACTCAAAAATTGTTTAGGGTTTCAATATAGGGTTTCTCTGAGTTGGGAGGGTGATGGAGGCTGGGTTTGGACGAGATAAAGTGTTTAAATAGGGTGCAAACCCTAAATATTAGGGTTTTGTCCAGACAGCTCCTACTCGTCGAGTCGGTCTTCCGACTCGTCGAGTAGGTCACTTAAACCCCAGATCCAACAGTCCAGTCGCTCGATGAGTTGGGCCTCCAACTCCCCAAGTTCCAGAGTAAATTGCAATATTTCTTGAGATTAAATATGTACCAGGAATCGGGTGCTACAAATCTCCCCCACTTATTTTAGACTTCGTCCTCGAAGTTTGTTGCTGAATCTGGAAAAAGCTCGGGGTAGTGCTCCCTCATCTCTTCCTCCGGCTCCCAAGTCCATTATGACCCCTTGTGGTGCTGCCACTGCACCTTCACCAGCTCCACCCTCTTGTTCCTCAGATCCTTCGACTTCCTGTCGAGGATCGCTACTGGCCGCTCGATGTAGTTCAAGCTGTCATCCACCTTAATATCCTCCAAAGGCATCACTGCCGAGTCGTCCACCAGACACTTCCGTAACTGGGAGACGTGAAACGTACTATGAATCTGTCTGAGTTCGGCTGGCAGGTCCAGCATATACGCCACCTTGCCCACCCGGGCGACAACCCTGAAAGGTCCAATGTACCTGGGGCCCAACTTGCCCCGTTTCCTGAATCGGATGACACCTTTCCAGCGACACCTTCAGGAGGACCATATCCCCGACCTGGAACTCCAGGTCCGAGCGACGCTTGTCGGCATAGCTTTTCTGCCGACTCTGAGCAGTCTGAAGCCTGCTCCTAACCTGTTGAATCCTCTCTGTCGTCTTGAGCACCACTTCGGTGCTCCCCATGACCCTCTGTCCGACTTCGCCCCAACATATCGGGGTCCTGCACTTCCTTCCGTACAACATCTCGAAGGGAGGACGGTCGATACTCGCATAATAGCTGTTGTTGTAGGAGAACTCAGCTAATGGAAGGTAGGTATCCCAGCTACCACCGAAGTCTAGAACGCAGGCCCGCAGCATATCCTCCAAAGTCTGGATGGTCCGCTCACTCTGACCATCCGTCTGCGGGTGGAACGCTATGCTGAAATGCAGACGAGTACACAACTCGTCGTGAAACTTCTTCCAAAACCTGGAAGTAAACCGCATGTCTCGGTCCGAAATCACCGAAACTGGCACTCCGTGCCGAGCTACTACCTCTTGGATGTAGATGTCGGCCAACTTCTCGGCCGAAATGCTCTCCTGGATCGGTATGAAATGGGCACTCTTGGTCAACCGATCCACGATAACCCAAATCGAATCCAGTCCCCGTGCAGTCCTGGGAAGCTTGGTGATGAAGTCCATAGTAATATCTTCCCATTTCCACATGGGAATGTCTAGCGGCTGCATCTTGCCGTGTGGCCTCTGGTGCTCAGCCTTGACCTTCCTGCAGGTCAAGCATCGCTCTACGTACCAGGCGACGTCTCGCTTCATGCAGGGCCACCAGTAATCGGGTCGAAGATCCTTGTACATCTTCATCGCCCCGGGATGAATCGAGAATCGGGATTTGTGCGCCTCCTCCATCAGAACCTGGCGCACACCCCCATGATAGGGAACCCACACCCTGCGGTGTAGCGTCAATAACCCATGGCTATCATAGTCGAAGGAGGAAATCTGTCCCACAATACGCTCGCTCTTCCTGTGTTCCTCCTTCATAG